AGATAATGCTGTAGTTAGTATCTGTTATTTCTTTTGACTTGTCCCAATTATTCACAAGTCTTCTTTCTATTACCAATATGCTGATTGGAATTCATTTTTGTGATTTTCTTCAACACTCTTTTAAGTAAAATTTTTAATCGTCCTATTGAAAATTATGCCACTTTGCAAATACCAGGTGAAGCCACTTTGCAAATACCAGGTGAAGCCACAACTGTTTAACTGCTATAGCCCACAGGAATCACTGCTTCTGACCATACCAACTTGATAGTTCTGATCATAACAGAAGTGTTTGTGTCTGCTTGTAATAATTGTAAATTTGTCCTCAATAAGGCTAAGTCTTCGTTTACTGACAGAATGAGGTGGTGTATAGCATCAAACAAGTTTCATTCTTATGGCTCTGTAATAGCATGTTAAACAAGAGTAAGTCCTCTATTCCTCAGTTTGAGGTGTTATCATTTTTTGTTAAGCAGAATATACTCGTGACTTATCTGGATTATCTTTACCTAATTTTCCTATTAGAACTGAATCTATTCTGTGTGATATGTGCTTATAACTCCATCCATAGTTTCTGTTATCATCTCTAGATTCCCACAAATTATGCTTTTCTGCTTGTTGGAAATTCTTTCCTGTAGTTCCTGCTTTTAAGAATTTAGACAAACTATTTGATCTTTCTGACTATCAACCTCTTCTACCTTTTTTTGGCCATGTCTTAAAGGCTCTAATAAATTCTAAATTGGTTAAGAATCTTGCCTCACAGATAAACTATATGGTGTTTGCTTTTCTAACTGCTGATATATTAATGGTTATTGCTGAAAGAGTCTCTCAATCTTTAGATTGACAGACTCTTTCAGCAATAACCATTAATACATAAAATAAGAATGGTGAAGCTCTGGATTTTGCTTTAAATATCTCAAAGGCATTTGAGAAGGTTTGGCATGCTGGTCTTCATAAGTTGAAAGGTCATGATATTTCTGAACAAATTTTTGATTTGATTTAACTTTTATGTAATTGCTAATTGTCTTGAATGGCCATTCTTCTAGATCTTTTTACATTAATACTGGAGTTCTCATCCTCTGAAATTCATTGTTCCTAATTTTCATCAACAGCTTTCTCAATGTCATCAGTTCTTGATCTGATTGCTGATAGTACAACTATTTGCTCTTGTCTTAATTGTAAGTCTGACAGGTTCAATAAGGTTACATTGATCGCTGATCTCAAAAGTGGCTTTCAATCAGTTAACTAGAGCAAGAATGGATGTGTTATTAATTTTAATGACTCTCAAATTAAACTGCTTTCTTTTAATCATCTTAGAGAACATTTTTTACCTTCCATTAGCATGGCTGATGTTAACCTCCATCAGAGTGACACACTGCACCTTCTGCTGGCATGAAGTGGAATGATTAGATTGAATCCGTTGCTTGGTTTGCTGCTAGGAAAGTTAGTTCACTGTGCTATGCTAGACAATCTTTCTTTCCAAAATCTGTCTTACACATTACAAGTGTACCATTTGTCATTGCTTTGAACATTGCTGCAGTATTCAATTTGGTGCTTCTGCTATGTATTTAGAGATTCTTGACAAAATCCCAAGAACTGTCTATATAATGTTATAGGTCCTGAACAAGCATCTCCATTTCACTTACTTTCACATCACCATAATGTGGCTTCCATGTGCCTTTTATATAAATACTTTTATGGTAATTGTTCTGATGAGCTTTGATACTTTAACTTTATGAATTTAAGTGCAATATTAAATTGGCAGTTTGGTCTTATCATTTTACAGTTGAAGTTACAAGATGTAACTATGCTAAGAGTTTCTTCTGGTTTCTTGCTTTCCAGTCAACTTTGATTTTCAAAAATTTAAATGTAATGTCCATTATCTTCTACCTCTTTAATTCCTGTTGTTTTATTGTCCTCTCCTTAATTTCTCTTAAATTCTTTTGCAGCTCTTATTGAGTTGGTAGGTAGTATTTGAATTTGATTTGTGTCTAGTCTTATTAGGATTATTAATTATTTTTTTTTTTTTTTTTAGCTTCATAAATCTGATGAGCTTATTGTATTCTTCCAATATTGATAATCATATACATTTTTTAAATTTTAGTCTCACAATTCATTATCAAGGAGTACTTCAAGAATCACTAATTCAACAAATGCCTACAAACTTTGTTCATTTTTTAAATAATCATCTACCGTTTTCTCTTTGCAGTAAGAAATTTACCAAAATAATTAAAATTGAATCTCTTTATATGTAACAATCAGTTTTTTTATATTAAGATCATTTTTTCCAATGACTAATAAAAAAAAAAAAATCTGAATTCGTAAAATATCAACAAGGGCAATAACTTTTACAATTTAGTCATCTTTCTCATTTTGTTTGTTTTCTATATTTTGTTGCCTTAAACTATAGGGCTTAAGTTTCCAGATATTTCGTTTTATCTACTTCTAACACAACGTAACTTACATTATGTAAGTGAAGTGTTTTTTAGGTGTTCTTTTGAAAGTTGTACACTTTTTTCTTTTTAACACTAACAGCGTATCTTCAATATTAATCACAAATTGATAACACTCTCCAAGATAGTGAATCACTGAATCAGTGAATATCAAACTAGTTTCGCACTTTGTAGTGAAATCAGCAGTACTTATTGAATATAATCTTTGCGAGACTAAATTAACAAACATACCCAGTTTAACCCAGTAAAATAATCACTGGCATGTTGGTATGAACCAGTCTTGGGTCTGATCTGCATTGAACTGGAAAGTGCTTTTTTATTTTTATTTTTTTAAGTTAACAATTGTCCTTGTTTTATTGACTGACTGTAAGGAGGTAAAAAGCATCCTAATTTAATGAATGACAGTAGTTCAGTTTAAATTAAAATAAAAATGAATAGTCCTCCTGTAATTTTCAATAGCATGAGCTCTAGTCTAACAGTTAACAATGTCTTGCCTGATAAGATCAGTGTTGGTTCAAAACAAAATGATTTCTTTCTGTATCTGCCCCTTTTTTGTAGACTAACAGACTTGTGAGTAATTACTGAGGTTTTTATTAAGTTAAAAATCCTAATTTACAGGGTGGTCCGAAAGTTTTGTCACCCCAACCTCTCTTCCAATTTAGCACGAGGCCAGTAAATAGATCAGGTTCACCAGTGATAAGCAAGCTAACCACTTGCAAACTGGTTTTAGCTTGCTTATCTACAAAGAAAGACGATCTTAAGATTATCTCTGTCAAATATGGCAGTTTCTGTAATGTACAACGATGTGATTATCTTCATCCTCTTCTACAACTGACCCCATTCTTCGACTTTCAACATCCTACTTTAATTCCGATTGCCTTAATGGCTAGGAGAAATAATGGAGAGTGTATCTTATGCCGTTACAGGGAGTGTCGTCACACATACTCTGAAAAAAAATCTGTCTCTTCAATGCCATGCTTTCACTATCAGTCGTTCTAAATTTAAGGATGATTAATTTTTTTTATTATGTAGTAACATATTTTGGAAAATAAAGCATACGTAAAAGTTTTTTTTTTCTAACGTAACTCAACAATACATTAACAATCATACTTTTTTTTTTTTTTTTTTCACTTTGGTAGATTCTTCTTTCAGTGGTCACGGGAACTGGGTATTCAAATTCAATTTGTTGTGTTGGCCCATATGTACGCGTATGAAGACCCCACATACAACACTCAACCACAACCTTGTGTCACATTCTACCTCTGTGGGGAAGTTGCATTTTTTTTTTTTTTTTTTAATAAAAATTGTAAAGATGCATTTACAATACTTTGAAAACTAAATAAAAAACAAACTCCTCTTAAAGTAAACTCAAAAAGCCTATGTAAAAATTGGCCACTCTCATTGAAAAGAAAACTTGTGTGTTGGGTTGTTGAATGTTGAAACCGTTTAGCAGAGAAGGGTGGTGGTGAAGACTTTACGAGCGTGACTCTCGACCACAAAAACCTTCTTTTCTCGACACTGCACCCTTCTTTCAAAATATAAATAAAAATACAAGTTTAACAAAGCTAGTATAGTTCTCGTGGCTCACGACATTTCAAGTTGTGGTGTGACTGTCTTGGGATATCAACGACTTTACTAGGAGGAGGATTGTGAAGAATACTGAAACACTAACACACGCTTGCCTGTTTAAGGGATAGAAATTCAATTGAAACACTTCTTGTGTCACTTGTTGGATGAAAACGGTTTTTTTTTTTTGTTTTTTTTTTTTTTCAATCTAAAAATTTGTTTCGAAAAGGAAGAGAAGTACGTGTTAAAAAAAGTCATTAGCGCTGCGAATCTTTACAGCCACACAAATTTTGTGTTCTCTTTCTTTATACATTAGGAAATTTTAAGAAAATGCATTAAGTCACCAAATCAGCAGACGATTTATGACAATGCCAACGGGGGAAGTGACACGTAAATAAGGAAGACAATTGTCACAATGTTTTTTTTTTTTTTTTTCACTTTAATTTTTAAAACATTTCCCTTCTCAGGATTACTTCGCGCACACAATTTGTGCAAAGTTCTCTCTCTCTCACACACACACACACACACACACACACACACACACACACACACCTTACCCTTAAGGCTTAATTCAAACAATCACGCAAGTTTTTAGTCGAACTCAACAGCAGCCTGAGCAAACGCACTTTCATTACATGAAAAACTGAGTTGAGTAACTGCATAACATTTTATTTTATTTCTTGTAATTTAATATACTTCAGTTATACCTGCTGCTACGTTTTACTTATTTGATGAATAGAGATGCTATATTCAACACGGATTTTTGTTATACGTCATCTTGCAGGTGGTAATCATAAAATGATATCCTGATCTTTGATATTGTTTTTCCCTAACCGACATTTTAAAATTTAAAGCTTTACAAATTTATAAAAAATACTCTCTTTTCTTTTCACGTATGAAACAGAATGAATATTATTATAACACATGTATGCACATCGCTTAACGTTTAAAAAAAAAAAAAAATCAACTCCAGTCTTCAAAACTTAAATGTTTAGTCGGCATTCCTACAGTTTCTTTGGGTCTGTGAATCGACTTGATTCTGATTCCAGTTGTTCCCATGGTTGCACCAAGGAACGGATTTCTTGGATTTCGGGTAGGCAAGAATATGGCTCTATCATTTTTATTTTTTATCCTTTGGTTTCCTGAAAGCATGTTTTTATTTTTATTAATGTTGCCTGTTGTTTTCCAAAAGTCTGTTTCATGGCCCCATCTTCATTTAAATTTTGCTATCAATATCACACACTTTCTTACAAAAAATGAAAAGTTTGTTATAGGTTTAATTTTCGATGCCTATGGTTTTAATTTTTATAAACGAAAAAGCTTTTTTTCTTTCATTTTAGCTTTAATTGAAAGCACTATAGTGTATTTCAAGCAAATTATGTTGATCGGAATCGTTTTTTTTTCCAAAATAGCTGATTAAATTTAAAATAAATAATAAAAAAAACAGTTTATTTGGCAGCTAATTGTAAATTTCCTCTGAATATTGTTTTCGTGATTAGATTGAATTTTAAATTTAAAAATTGTGACCAAAAACTAAGAATCTGTATGACTGAGTAGAAATCTTATTTAATGCCATTAAATTATTGGACACTTTATTTTTTTAATTATATTCCATGACTGAAATGATTTTGTACATAATTTACCGCCAACGGAAAGCAATACTTTATTTTAAAATGAATTTTTTAAAAATGAAAAATGAAATCGTTCTTGAAGTTTTTATTTTAGTTTTAATTTCAAGCTAATTAAATTTAATATTTCCAATAAGCAAAATACTTTACTCACTGCATTTCAGAATGAATTCTGATTGGAATGATTTTTTTTAAATGGCTAATTTTGGCCAATTTTGTTTAGCCATATTTACAAATCTGTCAATACAATGTAATTCTTTCTTTAAAAAAAAATGTATTTCAAAAATAAAATATAGTTTTCTGAAACATAATTTGGAGCTGATTTAAAGTTTAATCTGATTTGAAACCAATATTACTGACTTTAGTTTAAAATATTGCAGAAAATAATTTTTAACATGGAGATTGATGCTATTATGAGATGTTGACAACTATCTCTATAGATTTATGTTTGGGAATTTTTTTTGAAGGTGGACAATTATGGTAACAAGTACTTGACAAATATCATAAACACATTTTTATATAATTTTTTTAACTACTAAGTAATCTTAAATAATTAGGAAAATATTCTAATTTAATATTTTATTAAATAAATCTTAGGTACTTTGGGTTTATAGTTTTACTTATGAAATATAGTTTTACTTTATGAAATATTAAAACGTTACTAATAAATTTTAAATTTACTATAGTTACCACTCGAAATTTCTGATAATTTCGTGTATGGATGTCTGTACTTACAAAAACTGGCATGTTTATACAAACCCTAAAAAAAAAATTCAAAATTCTTAAAATAGATTGCTGAAGTGCAGTAATCTTTTCTATTTATGACCAGTAAATATACTTTTTACTTAATAACAATATCACCTAACTGCTACAAATTAAGATAGAATTTTAAAATTTAAAACTTTATAAATTATTCTAATTAAAGTTTAAAAACAATGAAAACAGTTCTAGTAAAAATTAATTATTCATCAAAAATTCTTAAAACAATAGTGCCTATATGTTATTCATAAAAGCAATTAAAAGCTTTTCTAAAAAAATGTTCTCTGTTATTGCATTTTTATTTTATGATTCAGAATAGATTTTCTGTAACTGGGGGGTCCTCTTGTACAAACAAATATTGATGATTCTTTAGGATTTGTGCTTATAACAAATATAAACATTAATTGCTACAAATAAGTAGGGGGTAACAGATGTTAAAAAAAATATTTTTACCAAAATTTAAAAAAAAAAAAAAAAATTTAAATAATTTAATTTGTGAATAAATCCTGAAGATTTCATTAAAAACCAACAATTATCTGATCTTTGCAAGAATTTCTGAATCTGTATTTTTCATTGAAAAAAAGATGTTAATTTATGGTCACCTGCTGATGCAAGAAAAACAATTTTTAACCAAAATTTTGAAGTTTTAAAAAGGATAAAAAATTTAATAATAAATCTTTTGATCATTCCTCATAATAACAAAGATTTTGATGATAAAACATTTTTTCATCATGTATGCTCATTTTTAGCAAAACTTTGGTACCTATATTTTGAAATTAATGGATTTATTATTTATTAATCCGACAGATTTTCTCACTTTAAACGTTATTTTAGTGGATACATGGTTTGTCTGAATATTAGAGGAATCTTATTAAAGAAAAGTTTGCACTCTCCAGTAAGATTTGAAACTGCATCCCACTTTGTAGGAGAAACTGTTTAGATCCAATGTGCTTTAGACTGATTCTGCCACAGATGGCATTGGCAATTAAGCAAGGCTCTCTGTGGCTGAGTTGGTCTAAAGCATGTCAGATCTAACTCATTAATTCACTTTTTAATTTTTTTCTTACCTGTTTGATGTCATAAATTATTTGATTGCACCCAATAAGGTCTTTTTCAATCATTCTGATTTTAAAATTTATTAAACTGAAGAAGTGTTACAAAAAATTAAAAAAAAAAAAATTATTGATGCTGTTAATTGATTGCATTCACAGAATTAGTACTTTTTTGAACTTCTGTAAAAAAAAAAAAAAAAATGCAACAATGAAAAAATTAAAAACAAATGTTCACTTAAAAATGGCTTTACATTTAAAAAAAATTTAAAACATCTTTATTTAATAAAAAAAAAAGTATTATTATGAACATCAATAGGATGAATTTCAAAATCATGCTGAAAAATGTTTTAAGAATTAATTTTAAGTGTAGATTTTTTTTCTATTAAATCTGAAAGAAAATGTGTTTTATTAAATTATGCAAGCACCAACACTCAAAAAGAAAAACAAACACACACTCGCAACATTCTTCTATAATCAGTGTAATGCAATTATTAAAATACATGTATTAAATTTAAAACTTTAAAAAGTCAATTATTTTTATATAAACCTTCCTTTTAAATTTAGTATAAAGAAGCATTTTAATCAAAACACTCAGCATAAATGCAAATTTGGTCAATGTGGTTGAAATAGTAAATGTATCTTCAAACAGACTGGACAAAATAATTTAATGTTTTTTTTTTTTTTTTTAAAAATTTTCTATCTATTATTTGTTATTTTGTTTTTATCTCTGAATGGGAATTAATATGATGAAATAATTACTGTACATACATTCATGCATTGTAGAAAACAGTTTGTGTTTTAGGAATATAGAGAACAATTAGAATGAGAAATTAATAAGGAAGCTATGTTTTTGTGTGGGTGATTTTTATTTACATATAATGATAAAAGTAGTTTTAAGATATGCTATATAATTCTGGAAATACCAAGCAGTGACAATCTATTTCATGCTTAAATATGATCACCTCTCTCTCTCTATATATATATATATATATATATATATATATATATATATATATATATATATATTTGAAAAGTATGTAAGTGATAATTAACTGTGAATCTTAAAATTTTTGATTTTTAAAAAAAAAAAACAAATACACGAATTCAGTATAGTACATAGTATTATTTAATTTGTTTTTTTTTTTTTTTCATTTTTAAGCTTATTTAAAATGTTTTTATTGCATTGACACAATTGGAATTTCCACTTTTATGTGTGTTCTGATGATGAAACATAGGGTGTTGCTGTGAGTTAAGTTTGTTTATTTTCAGTTGGAGTGAATTATACTAGAAATACCATCAAAAGGAAAAAAAACATAACCACAGTTTTAAGTGTATAAGTCGATTGGTTATTTTAGTCATTTGTTTTGACAATAATATATTTAAATGTTGGATATAAATTTAGTTTAGTATCTGTTTTGGATTTAACTGTTTTGATAGAAATTTCCAGTTATGAGTTTAATAAAATATTACCCTTTTACTAATGTCTAAAGTAAAGAGGAGTTGAAATACCACCAGGAAGGGATTATTTTATTGGGCAGTACAGCTTTGTAATAACATTGAATTTGCTGTTAAATGCAACAACAGAAACTTCAACATCATATATAAATAAATAATTTATCTTTCTTTATGTAGGCTATATATATATATATATATATATATCCCACCAAGTATAGGATTGGAATAAAAAATTAATTCCAATAACCAACAAATACTATTCTTAAAAGAGTACTCAATACAGAGTAGAGCAAATATAATAATCATTTATTCAAAAATTATAAAATAAAAATGTTATAAAATCACAACAAAAATAGCCATTTTGTTTCAACACTTCTGGTGTCTTCTCAAGTGATGGTGTTGAATGTAGAATAAAGGGTTTTAACAGGTTCAAATCAAACACCCCTCGCTAGAGTAAATGACCAGGGCCATTTGTGCAAACATGAAAGTTATGGTTTTAAGAGCTTAAAGACAGCACCAATAATTCAGGAATTGTCTGGTTTTGAAAATGACCTACTGGAAATTGTCAAAGGATTAACCTTCCATAAATATAAAAAACTCTTTTCAAATAATCTTGATGATATTGTCAAGGATATTAATAAATCCAGTGGTATTTATATCAAATCCGATAAAATGGCTAACTTTTATAAGTTATCCCCTAAGGATTATGATACCTTAGTTAAAAATAGTCTGACCAAAAGCTACAAGAAAATTGACACTAATAATTTTAACCTGATAGATAGGATTAACTGTGTCAGTAAATCCATTACTGACAAACTATGGATAAGGAAGCTTGTCTTGTGTTAAAATACCATAAACCCAATTTCAGAACCAAGCCACCCACAAGGCTTATTAATCCTACAAGACCGGAAATCGGTGGAATCTGTAAAACCATCTTGAAAAATAACAACCAATCCATAAAAAACACCCTTGGACTTTTACAGTGGATTTACACAGCTGATGTTATCAACTGGTTTACTAGCATCCAAAGTAAGGACACTCAGGAATGCTCCAATATTTCTGAGAATGAAGTGGATATAATCATGAAATGCCAAAATTCTGTTCTGGTCTACACTGAAGAACAGTGGACCAAAAAGTCTTGTGATAATTTTGACATTTCAATGTGTTCTTTGGATTTTGCAGAAACCTCTGACTTGGTGAGATTATTCATTTTATACAATTTAAGTTCCCCTGAATGTCTAGATTCTGATAGTGTAAGATTATGATAGCTTATTAGTTGTTAAAAACTCTACAAAAATTAAGGTAAACCATATTAGAAAAATGATCCATAGGGAATTTAAGGATTTAGATTTTAGAACTACAGTTACAACTAACCTTGAACAGGTAGATTTTTGGAACGTCACCCTAGACCTTACTAGCAGCTCTTTCCAACCTTATGTGAAGGTCAATTCTAACCCAATATATGTACATCCCAATTCCAACCACCCACCTTCGGTTATCAAGCACATAACCTCCTCCATTGAATTTAGGATTAGAACTCTTCTAACAAAGGTTTTTAATAAGCATTGTAAATTTTACAATTCTGCCCTTAGAAGTAGTGGATACAAGGGTACCACTATTCAATATAGAAACCCTGTTAATTATGACCATAATAAGAAAAGATCTAGGAAGATCATTTGGTTTACTCCCCCTTTCAATCTAATGGTTAAAACTAAACTACGACATACATTTCTAAACCTTATCAAGAACAATTTCCCTGACCCTGAAACTAACCCACTCAGTAAAATATTCAATCATAATACCCTTAAATTGAACTATAGTTATGCGGATAACCTAGAGAAAATAATTAAGAAACGTAAGAGTCTTTTAACAAGTATAGGGACTCAAAAAACTTAACTACTCACCAAGTTGCAAGTAGTACAACTAGGTATAATGACACGAATAACAACTTGTGCAATTGTAGGAATTCAAATAATTGTCCATTACAGAATAATTGTTTGACTAGTTCTCTAGTTTACCTTAGTACAATATCTACACTAGAAAACCCAAAAATAAAAAAAATTTTACATTGGAAACACTATGAATTCATTCAAAGAACGTTGGCGTGAACATATGCAATATTTCAATAGTAGTAATTATAAGTCTTCATTATCCAAGTATTTTTGGAGTTTAAAGGAGAAAGACAAGACACCTAATGTTAAATGGAAATTAATCAAGAGAGCTCGAACATATAATTCCCTATATGCCCCTTGTTATCTATGTCTTAATGAAAAATTTGAAATAAAAAAAACAAGACCCATCTCTTAAATCAAAGAAATGAACTCACTGTTAACTGTAAACACAGCTATAAATCTAGCTTACTACATGGGTAGTAATACTTTTAACGATAAGGCTATGTTACTGTAAGTTTAATAGGTTATTACTTTTACTACCTGATAATCCTCCTACGGATGTAAATATATGTTGGTATACGTATATTGTTGTTTGTGTCTGCACATGTGTATATTTTTACTGATGGATATATATATATATATATATATATATATATATGTATGTATGTATGTTTTGTATTGATAGCTGTTATGTGCTTGTTTATATATTTATATGCTTGTATATGTATGAGTGTAAATTTAGGTATGTATCTGTATGTGTGTGCATATATGTGGATCTGTGTGTGTGTATATATATATATATATATATATATATATATATATATATATATATATATATATATATATATATATATATATAAATTAGGATTGATGATACATTCCAAAACACTAACTAAAATCAACTTTTGTTTGATAAGGTTTTTATAACTGCTTGTAGACTTAATAATCAACAGTTGTCTCGTTACATTTTAATCTTTGTATGGACTTTACAGTCCTTTATAGTCACTATATATGTTTCTGTATGTGTGTGTATATATAAGATATAGTTTATTTACTTTTTTATGTTGCTGTATAGGTTGATATATTTATTTCTGTATGTATATGGGTATATGTGTATGTATAGGTATGTATGTGTGTCTATATGTGTATGTATGTATATATATGTTGTGAAGAATGTATGTACACATGTCTATATGTATTTTTTATTTTCTTTCACATTGTTATATATTTGTATATGAGATATTTATGTATTTAGTTTTCTTTTTTATATATTAAATGGTGTTATTTTTATTTCTGTATATTTTAGTGTCCTTTTTCCTTATGTTGTTCATTGACGAATATTTTTTAGTGAGTGTATGCGCATGTCTTTATCAATGTATGTGCATATAATTGCTTTTATGTGCCTTTCTTTGTATGTATATGTTTTTTTTTTTTTTTTTTTAAGGGCCGTAGACATATTTCCTGTCTTGTTGCTTTTTTGCGTGTTTATATATCTAAATATGTCTGTGTGTTTGTATATTATAATCTGATTGTGTGTGTATTGTCTTTTGCAAGATTTCACCATCCCTAACCCATACCTTCCATTCAAATGTGTCTAAGTTGTAATGGAGTTCAGAGCAGCATTTGATCTTAATGTTTATTCCAACTTAATTTCAATAAAAACAAAATAAATAAAAAAAAAAACATGTATTTTTTTTCTTCAGTTTCTTTAAATAATTTTATAATTTTAAACTTAATGTAGATTAAATTTAAAATTGGTAATTTTGAATTTTATAGTATAATTTAATATTTATTAGTTAGAATGAATTCTATTTTAGTCTAACCCTAACATTAAAGAATTAAATAATTATTATAATTTAAGTCCATTGTCATATTTTTTGAATTCTCGTATACTTGTATTTTGATTGGTCATTCCAGCTTATGTAACAGCATTTCCCCTAATGAGGGGTGTTTGATTGATTTGAGCCTTTTAAAACCCTTTATTCTACATTCAACACCATCACTTGATAAGACACCAGAAGTGTTGAAACAAAATGGCTATTTTTGTAGTGATTTTATAACATTTTTATGTTATAATTTTCAAATAAATGATTTAATGTGTATGTGTGTAATCAGGCTCAGCAATACATGATGCTAGCAAGCAAAATTTATGTCCAATATCTTTTTAAGGGCACAAACATAGCTTTGATAAGTAATTACATATTTTATTTTAGCTAAGTCTGGTACAAGTCTGCAGCAAATGGAATGTCGGGTGATGAAGGCTCACTATCATAGTTAATCTACAAAATGAACTTGCTGTCAGTCCACAGGAGGCATAATAAATATATATTTTTTTCTTCCTGTATTTTGTATTAAATTAATTTAGAGATGAATCAACATAATTTTGTTTTGTCATATTTTCTTTCCGTAAAGAAAATAACCCAGATTTGTTAGTTATTAAGGCGTCTTCTAATAAATTTATTGAATCTGTGTACTTGAATAACAGATTTTGTGTTTATGCTTAGAATAGAATATTAACATGAAGTAACAACTATTATGGACAACTTGATGTTATCTTGATGTTCCAACAGTAAAGAAGAGCAATATTCAGGTACAAATTGGAATCACTTTTCTATTTTATTTTTTAAGATAAAAGAAGAGATAACTGACATAAAAGTCAAGTGTTATTTTAATTAAGAATAAAAACAGTTAGATGAGCTTGATATTTGTTTGGACTGTAATTAAAATAATTTTTAGCAGGTTTTCAGGAAAAAAAAGTGTCTAGTAAAGAAAGAAACCGAGTAGCATTGCATTTATTTTTTTTTTCTCTTTTTCAATGTCTGCTTTATGTTTATTTGGGGACAAAAAGAATTGGTAAGTGATGAAAAATGTTTATGGTTAAAGCATTTCTTTGGAATGCTATTTTGTTTTGTAACAAATTACAGGTTTTTTTTTTTTTGTTCAGTGTAAACCAACAAACAGCAAGTTGACCTTGAATATGCAAAAGAGAATGGTGCAACAAACTACATTTATAAAAGAATAAAGCAAAACAATATTTCATTTATAAAATTGAAAAAAAAATGATACATAAAAAAGACGGTGAAGTTTAGCAGGTAATGTCTAATGCTTTGGCTATGAATAAAAGTGATGGTTTGATTTTAAATTGATGGATAAACCATTGATATTGAATAGGGATGATGTTTTCCAGTATAAAACTGTATGACAAATTACATGCAATGCAGCAGTGTTTAATTGGTAAGAGTGTCACACTATTTGATTTGTTTTATTTTTTTTTATTTTATGGCTTGACATTTTGCAGGTTATTTAAAGCCAGCATATATTTTGGGATGCTAAGAATTTTTTTTTTTTTTTTTTTTTTTTATAGGATAATATAATGATTTTCTAATAAAAGTCTTACTATTTAACTTATAGTGGAGAGGGAGAAGAGGTTTCATATCTCTCTCAAGGGTATTTGAATATAACAAACCTGACTAGAATTGGAACTTGGCTCTCCTATTTCCAATTTTGAACAGTTATCCATTATATCATCTGTACATCCAAGCTTACCACACATGGTATTCCCAAGAAGTCACCCATCTAGGTACTGACTAGGCTTGATATTGCTTAACTTCAGTGATCAGACAAGAACTGGTCTTTCAGTGAGAGATAGCCATAAGCCGTCCCAGTATTGGGAAAATTGGACATTAATTAAATAAACCTCAAAAGATCTTACTGTTTAAAAAAAACAAAAAAAACAGTAAGATCTTTTGAGGTTTATCTGGATAATACTATTAACCAATTTAATTTTGTTTTAAGACAACTATTGACTATTATTTCTGTGTTTTTTTTGTAAATTTATTTTGTATTTATCTGCATGTCTACTTGATCAAAATGTGATACAAGATTGAGTTTAAAATGGTTTGGGGACAAAATTGCCCAAGATCTCTTGGGGTTTTCCCTTTTTGAGAAGACCTCCGACACCAGGTAATGGCCCTGAGCTCTCCGGAAAGAGAGGCTAAACCTGGGGGCATGGCTCTCAAGTTTGTTTTTTTTTTTTTTTTTTAATATGTAAATACATTTGAAAATTTTCACTTTAGTAGCTCAAAGAAATTTTTGAATCCCTCAACAAACTATTTTATTGTAAAGTTAAGCTAAAGTTTTTCATTTTTTTGTCTTCCTTTTTTACTCTTCCTTTTTTTTTGTCAAAATGGGAGCGCATTAATATAGAATAACAAAAGAAAAATACTAATCCAATTTGTATTTTGTTGTCACTAAAACAATCATATTTTTATAAGATATACAAGGATTTTTTTTATATAAGCATTAATAAAATATTGGATTCAAGTGATTCTTAACCAAACTTTGATTTTATTTGATTTTATGATAATATGGAATATAATCTCCCCAAGTGATATTAATGAAAGGAATTCAATTAGAAATGCATGTTTGTAATGAGGTCTTAAGGAAAGTAGGAACTACATGAAAACTTGTATTCCAATCATAAAGAGACAGTTGGGATGCATAATGAGGAAAGAAGAAAATGAGCCTAAAGAATTTAACACTCACAGGATATATTGAAAGCAACAGAAGTGTGGAAACAGGGTAACCTAATTAACAAGTTTGTGTAAATTGATGGCAGAATAGGGACAGTGGGATTATAAAGGCTGAAAAGTTGCATAGAACAAAAGGCAGGAAATTTTAGTGAGCTATGTTTCACTGTCCTGAAGTGACATAACACGTAAGTTAGGCACAGGTTGTATTATGGGAAAGTGAATTGGTGAGAATTTTGATTTATGGATATAGTAAAAGGTTTAAAATGATTATGAAAAGCATTTAATTACAATTGAATCAGCAGCTGGCATTCTTAATTTAAACTTAACAAGGTTTTGAGTAGTTTAAGTTATTAGATCAGGTAAAACAAGGAATACTCACTTGTCAGCTTTGCTAGGAACTAGAAAAATAACAGTTGAATTAAAGATGGCTCTTCTAGGAAGAATCTTGGCAAAAATTATGTAAAGGAATGTTATTCTTTAATACTTGAACACAACTAAATTTTGTTACATGTCTACCAATTAAAGCTTTGTTTAAATAATGTAATATATTATCGGCAACTGTATACAGTAGCTTTACTGATTTTAGCAAATATTCTGTTGCTTTGCATGCCTTCTGTCATTTTTTATTTTAAATCTTTTATGAACTAATATTAAACTATGCAAAAATAAGATTGTACAAATTTTTTTTGGTTTAAACAGAGGTTTCAAATTGGGATATTTTTTATTAACTCTAATTATTATGTCATGCTATTATCATCTTGGTGCAATGTTTTGACCATTGTATCCTCTGGTTTTCTTCAGTCTCTTCACATTCTCCTCTGTAACCTTGGAATTTTGAACCAAACCCTTTATTCAATTTACAGAGGTAGATTGTTCTCACTCTAATTTCCATGCTTAGGGGAGATAACTCCTATCAGAATACTCACCAGCCTGATATACTTGTCTGAATCTGTTGAGAAAATTTCTCTTAAAGTGAAATTAACTATTTTGAAGGGTTTTTTTTTTTTTTTTTTTTTTTTGGTTGGGCTAAACTTTTCAGCACCCACTATACTATTGACTCTTAATTAAAAAAAAAAAAAAAAATTAAATGAAAAAAACTCAAAAGGTGTGATTTAAGTGCAGCTTCTAGAGTTGTGCATGTATGGAATAATTTCAAGAGATTTAACATGAAGATATAAATGCTTTTATTTTTTTTTTTCATTAATAAATTACATCTTTTTTAATTTATTTTTACTCTCTTTCCTATTAAGATGCCTATTTCTTTTTGCCAAATATATATTCCTTTCTTTCTCTCTGTTTTTCTTTTAAATTGTTTTTTTCATTTCAGTATCTTTTTCTTTTTATCTACTTGAGTAGTACTTTTATTTCACTTCCTACATTCTCCAGATATTCTTTTTTCTCTTCTCTCCTTTGCATTTATGATGTGAAAATTTTTTATCTCTAATCTTTTTATTACAATGATTCTTAGTTTCACAGTTTTGTCATTTTTCTCCCTCCAGGATGTAGGTGATCATAGTTCTATATGAATTTCTATCCCTTGGTGCTCTAACCTTCTATTGATTGAAGGAAATATTTTTATAACTACACCATATGAAATATAATGATTGCAGTGGGTATATATGAAAGACTTATTCAAGACATATATCTGAATTTGAATCCCCTGTATAGCATTATTTATTAAATTATTGTTTGTCTAAGGTTTTTTGTATTGTAGTAATAATTAACCTTCCAGTCCTGTATCCAAAATCTCTTTTGCATATATTTGTTTAATGTTCTTTTAATTTACAAGCATTCAAAATTGCCATGTCATATCCTAAATAATGGACATAGTGACATTTTTTCTGTCTATATCAATGAGGTAATTAAATATGTGGTAAAAATTGGTTTGAAATCTTTGCTGAATGATTTCTGTAGTTGGAATATTTAAGCTAGATATCCATTTTTTTCTATTTAAAATCATTTTATCTTAATGATAGTGTTGACTAGTTTTCAATATTAAGAACATAAAATATAAAACTTAAAATATCTTAAATCTTTATACATAAAAAGCTATTCTCAATGATGCATCATATAAAAGAAAATAATCTGAAAATTTATGATAGTGATATCCATTTTTCTGTTTATAGGTTATTATTGTAGATGCCCCAGGATGTATATCCACTGATGTGCAAAAAATAAAATAATAGTCATGTTGATTATTTGCTAACTTTGATTGCTATTGACAATTTGATACTTAGTACTTAAATATGTTTTAACAGGAAGTTTTCTTCAACCTTAGATGCTTTTAAAATGCATTTTTATGCTGTATATTAATTTTTTGTTGGCTTTTTTGGCAGTGGGTGTCAATGTTCTCAAAATAAACAAAGTTTGTATTAAACTATTTAAAATCTTTACATCTTATTAGTTTCTTAAAAAAAAAAAAAAAGTGATAAGGCTACGAAGATTGCATGTCAGAAGTTACTCTGTTGCTTATCTTGGCTACCATGGCAATATCAGTGTGCTGGAGGGGAGATTTTCTAGTTGCAGTCACCCAATGTAGGATGTTATTGTTTTTAGCATCTAGTGTTTATGAACACTTAAAGTATTCTCAAATGATCTGATATTAACTGATACCTCTTATTTTAGAAAATATTCTCTCTTAAATTATTTCCTAAGTAGTTGAAAAGAAGTCATTTGTATTTTTTATCTGCATTAAAATTTAAAATCCTTGCAATTAAAAATTAACCTATAAAGGAACTTGGGTTTTACCAAAATATAAAAAACAAAAATGATGGTAATATATTTTTTGATCAAAGGCCAAAGAATTTTCTTTTTAAACAATAATGCATTTCATTTGTAAATACAGGTTAAATGTCAAATAAGTGAGTCTTTCTATAAAATTAATCCAATGACTAAAGGCTGTGTCAAAAAAAAATTTCACAAGTATCTTTAATTTTTAAGATTTTACTCATTGCTGATCAAAAATGTTTAACTTTTTTTTTTTTTTTTTATAGGCATCAATGTGTAATAAATTCATTACAGGAGAATGAATAAAATAAGCACAAAAATAATAAAATTTTAAAGATTACATAAATATTGAAAGTATCAATATATTCTTCATTGAGCTCAGATTCAGGGTTGCCAGATTATGCGAACTTAAAAATATATATTAATATTTTATACTAGCCATTATCGTTGCTTTCATGGTACCTAAAATTGCAACTAAAATTTTAAGCTAGCTCTTGTGGAGGGCTCTTGGTTTGGCCATCATCACAATAGCTAGGGAGGAGTGGATGTGATAGGCATCAATAAACTATAGAACTCAAAATTGATTTCTGCATTTAAGTATTGAATTAATATTTAAGCTTACCTTTTAAAAGTTCAATGATAATTCTTCTGCTGCCATTTAAAGATGATTTGATGTATGTAGATCCTTATTTTCCATACGAACAGTTATTTTTATTTCATAGATGACAGAACAGGGGACAATTTATAAGATAAAATTAATATAGTGTAAAAATGAGAAATTAGAATTAGTTATACATTCAATATTTGAAGAGTTAGAGAAACATAATAGCTAATCAAGTAAAACCTGTATTATGGAATCTGTATGAATAAATGAGCAATTGGAGCTCAATTCTCCCACAAATTCTGAGATTAAAAAGCCCCAGCTCTACTTTATTGTAATTTATTTACTTGACACACCCCTACAAAGTCACGCTTTGATACAAGGTTGGTTTAATGTGGGGATTCCAAGTGTGTACACCTGGTATAGGAACAAAAATTCCCTGAGCCCACACAACCATCGGTTGTGCTGGCCTTGGTGCAAGCATCAATCCCTCTCTCTAGTGTAATGAGAGGGCATGACATCGGGCAGCTGTTCCCCAGGGATGGACACCTCTCCGTATATTTTTTCTCAATTGCAGCTCTGTCCTTCGGAGTCACCCCTGAGAACACTCTGCCTGAAGACAGATGCAACTGAGAGATTATAAATAAATGTGTTACAAACTACTTTATAGTAATTTGATACTTACTCAACCAATGAAGTCTCGTTATAACACAAGGTCAGTTTAATGTGGGGAGCCCGAGCATGTACTCACATCATTTCAGTTGTCATGCCTTCTGGCCTC